CTGGTGAATAAGACTGGAAGCTTGGCTCATGTGGTAGAGCACCAGCCACCTAAGCAAACTTAAAGCCTTGACTTCAAATTCCACCACCAGAAATAATAATAATAATGTTCTCACATATCTTCGCTGGGGTATGTATTGTGCCCCCCATTGACCATGTTTACTTGCTGCTTCCCCTCCCCCCCCCACACACACACTGGTACTGGGGCTTGAACTCAAGGCCTGGGCACTGTCCCTTAGCTTTTCAACTCAGGGTTGGTGCTCTACCACTTGAGCCACACCTCCATTTGTAGCTTTTTGCTAGTTAATTGGAGATAAGAGTCTCACAACATTTTCTGCCCAGGCTGGCTTTGAACCACAATCCTCAGATCTCAGCCTCTTGAGTTGCTAGGATTATAGGCATGAATCACCAACACCCAGCTTTATTGACTGCTTTCTAGTGCCCTTCTCCACCATGGTTGCTAAACTCCTGAACCTCCAAAATAAATAAACTGCTTTGTACTTGCATCCTGTTTCAGGATCTGCTTCTGGAAATGAGCAGGAAGTCAGAGGTCAGCCAGGTTAAAGGCAGCTAGACATTAAGATGAGAACAGAGACATGTTCCCAGTGTGTGGTGACACAGAAAAGAACTTGAAACTGGCAGGTGGAGACCATGCTGTGGTTTAAAGAGTAAGCAGAGAGAGGGAATGGCCCTGGGGCAGCGTCCACAGAAACACAGGAGATGGGAATGGGTAGAACGCCTGATGGGCACATTGAAGGCAGGTTCAGACCCGTGGCGGAGAGATTTAGACAGTAAATGATGGCAGTGATAACTGTTACTAAGCAACCAAAAAAAAAATCAAGGATTGCAGTTCAAAACCAGCCCAGGTAGAAAAGTCCATGAGACACTTATCTGCAGTTAGTAACCAAAAAAGCCAGAAGTGGAACTGTGGCTCAAGTGGTAGAATGCTAGCCTTGAGCACAAAGAGATCAGATACAGTGCCCAAGCTCACAGTTCTAGCCCCAGGACTGGCAAAAGGAGGAGGAGAAGGAGGAGGAGGAGGAGGAGAAGGAGGAGGAGGAGGAGGAGGAAGAGGAGGAGGGAGGGGGGAGGAGGAGGAGGAAAAGGCTCATCTAGGGATAGAGATGAAGGACAGTACACTGAGACTTTGAACCACTGGCTTTTCTACCAAATCTTAATTTTAGGTGGCTCACTCTTTGACTCTTTATATTCCCACTAATTGAGTATGAGGATTCCTTTTCCCCTGAATCTTCACCAGAATGTGCTGCTATTTGCTTTCTAGCTGATGGACATCAAGATTAGTATGAGCCCAGCACCAGTGCCTCTTGCCTGTAATCCTAGCTACTCAGGAGGCTGAGACCTACAGGAGCAAGTGTTTGAAGCCAGCCCAGCAGAAAAGTCCTCAAGACTCCATCTCCAATTAACCAGAAAAGTGCCAGACTTGAGGCCAGGTCTGGCCTCAAGTAAACTCGGTAAAGCCAAGCAAGTCTGAGTTCAAGCGTCAGGCTTCATTTATAGTTGAGGACATTAAACATTTCTTCATGTATTTATTGGTCATTTGTACTTTTTCTTTTGAAAACTGCCCCATTTAGTAATTGGATTACTTGGTTTCTGTGCATTTAATTTTTTTTTTTTTTTTGGTCGGTTGTGGGGCCTGGACTCTGGGCCTGGGCGCTGTCCCTCAGCTCTTCAGCTCAAGGCTAGCGCTCTACCACTTGAGCCACAGTGCCACTTCCAACTTTTTCTGCTTATGTGATGCTGAGGAATCAAACCCAGGGCCTCATGCAAGCACTCTACCACTGAGCCACCTTTCCAGCCCACATTTAATTTTTTGAACTCTTTCTTTATAGAGTATTATCAGATGAATGGCTGGCAAAGATTTCACCTATTCTATAGGCTATGTCTTCAATCTCGTAGTTTTAGAAGTGTCAGGGGGAATAATATGACCAAAATACATCATATACATGTATAAAAATTGATAAGCAAAAGCAAGGCACTGGTAGCTCACACCTATAATCCTAGATGCTTAGAGGTGTAGATCTGATGATTAAGGTTCAAAGCCAGCCTAACCAGGAATCCATGAGATTGTTATTTCCCAATTAACACCAAAAAGCCAGAAGTGGATCTGTAACTCTCAAGTGGTAGAGTGCTAGTCTGGAGCAAGAACAAAAAATTAATAAAATAAATATAAACAAATAAATAATAAATTAATCAATTAATACATAAATAAAAAGCAACCCAGGGACAGCACCCCAGTCTTGAGTTCAAGCCCAAGGGCTGGCACAAAAAAAAAAAAATTCAAGAGCAGCACATATTAGAAATTGTTAAAAGAAAGGGGGAGGAAAGGGACTGGGAAGGTGGCTCAGTGGTAGAACGTTTGCCTTGCATGCATGAGGCCCTGGGTTCGATTCCTCAGCACCACATAAGCAAAAAGAAAAAAAGCCGGAAGTGGCGCTGTGGCTCAAGTGGTAGAATGCTAGCCTTGAGCTGATGAGTTGAGGGACAGCGCCCAGGCCCAGAGTTCAGGTCACAAGACCAGACCCAAAAAGAAAAAAAGAAAAAGGGAGGAGTGTATAAATATTACCAAAATATATTATATATATATAAATGTATATGTAACATGGAAATGCCACAATAAATCCCATCATCACATAATTCAAATGAAAAGAAATGGAGACAGAAGGGGAAAAAAACTGGGAGAGGGTGAGGGAAGGGGTGACATGGTCCAAAAAGAAATGTATTTCTGGGGTGGGTGCAGGGGGGAGGGAGGAGGAGATGGGAAGGGATGGGGAGGGGAAACAAAGGAGGAGGCAGCAATGCTTGATAAGAAATGTACTCATTTCCTGGCTCATGTAATTGTAACCCCTCTGTACGGTACTTTCACAATAAAAAATAAATAAATAAAAAAGAAATGCATTTCTTGCCTGACTTAGGTAACTGTAACCCCTCTATACATCACCTTTGTGATAACACTTTTAAAAATTAAAAATAAATAATGAAAAAGAAAGCTTTCTGCTAGAAGAGAGCACCTGCCACCCGCTACAGGGAAGGCTGAGCTCAGCCATTGGCTCAGCAGCAGGGAGAAGGAGGGCTTATCCCAGGAGACATGCCTAGGATAGGCTGCTTTGGCTGCTGCCGTCACCCACAGCAGTCCTGGCTGCTTCAAGCCCTTTGTTTCCTCCTTCTCTCACTCCCTCTGGGTCAGACTTCATCACAGCCCCATAGCCCTTCCCCCTTCCTTCCACATGGGCATCTGTCCCCACATTCAAGCTCCCCTTGCATCTGCTTCTCAGAGGACCTGTTTCCTAAGGGAGAGGGGCTGGCTCTGGTACACCCTTCCCTTCCCCTCCCCAGACAGGACCCAGATGCCATGGTGGTGCATTATACAGGGGCTGGCTGGTCCAAAGTGGAGAGTGGTAATAGACTCTCTCCCAGGCGTAAAAGGCCAAGTAGAAGAGATGGTGGTGTTTCAAGGACCAGTAGAGATGGATGAGCAGGAGGGACAAGAGGGTTTTTTTTGTTTGTTTTTTGGGGGCAGGGGGAAATGGGGCTTGAACTCAGGGCCTGGGTGTCATCCCTGAGTTTTTCTGCTCAAGGCCACTTTGAGCCACAGCGCCACTTTCTGTTTTCTGGTGGTTAACTGGTGATAAGAGTCTCATGGACGTTCCTACCTGGGCTGGCTTCGAACTGCAATCCTCAGATCTCAGCCTCCTGAATACCTAGGATTACAGGCATTAGCCACTGGCACCCAACAAAAGGGGTTCTTAGAAGACAGCTGCATGATGTAGGGAGTGAGGGGACCCCAGGAGTTCAGAAGGGCCAAACTTCAGAAACACACAAGGTAGTGGCCAGCTCAAATGAAGTTCCAAAGACTCTGGGCTTTACCTTACAGGATAAGTGTTTTGAGTCACTGAATGGCTAGTTACACACACACACACACACACACACACACACACACACACACACACAGAGTATACCACACACTGAAAACTAAACACGTGTTCTTAAGAAAACTAGGATGCTAGTGGCGAATGCTTACAATCCCAAGTACTCAGGAAGCTAAGAGCTGAGGAAGGAGCTTAGTGACTCTTATCTCCAATTAATCAACAACAACAACAAAAAGCCAGAAGTGGAGGTGTTGCTAACGTGGTAAGCATCAGCAACCTTGAGCAGAAAAAGCAAGAAAGGAAAAGGAAAGAAAGATTAGATGAATCAAAACCAAAGGTTGAGTCATTAGGGTCAAAAAGAGGCTATTAACTAGTTTAAGGCACAAAGAGTCAAGACTAGAACAGTATTTTATTAGTGGTGCTAGATTTTACAACCAAAAAGGCCTTTTTCTTTATTGCTTTATTTGCTAATGTGAAAGAACTTCTGAAATGAATCTTCTCTTTTATCTGTGGAAGCCCAACAGAAAGACACATTCAAGGAGATCACCTCTCACTGGCCAGATCTTTAAGCCTTGTTTACTCCACCCATGACCTTCCTGTCACCTGATTTGCTCAGGCTCATCATCAGCCCCCCCACCAAGGACCAGTTGCTAGGGGTCTCCAGGCCAGGCTGTGAGAGTGAAGGGTAGGCATTCCTTCCAATTAAGGTAGAAAGCAGCTCCACCTGTCCAAATCTTGAAAGCTCCAGAGGATTGAGAATGCCTAGAAGTCTTTTAAATCCACACTGGTGATTCATGGTTATAATTCTACCTACTCAGGAGGCTGAGGTCTGGAGGATCTTGGTTGGAGGCTCAGCCCAGTAGAAAAGTTCATTGTTCTCCATCTCCAAAATAACAATCAGGGAAGTTGGGTGGGAGGTGTGGCTCAAGTGATAGAGTGCCAGCCTAGCAAGGGCAAAGCACTCACCTCAAATCCCTGTACCCCCCCAAAAAAAACTTTTAATAAAAGGGCAACCTGGCACTGGTGTCTTACACCTGTAACCCTAGCTATTCAGGAGGTTGAGATCTGAGGATTGAGGTTCAAAGCCAGCCAGAAGCAGGAAAGTCCATGAGACTCTTTTTTTTTTTTTTTTTTAAATGGAACACTACATGAATTGTACAGGGCTCATGCTAATCTTCTCTGTATTGTTCCAGTTTTTTAGTATATGTGCTGCCAAAGGGAGCATCCCGAGACTCTTATCTCCAATAAAAAGTCAGAAGTGAAGCTGTGGCTCAAATGGTAAATCACTAGCCTGTGAGTAACAGAAGCCAGTCACTAGTGGCTCATGCTTATAATCCTATCTATTCAGGAGGCTGAGCTCTGAGGATGGAAGTTCAAAGCAAACCCAGGCAAAAAAGTCCATGAGACTCTTAGGTTCAATTCAGCACCACATAACCAGACGTGGAGCTGTGGCTCAAAGTGGTAGAGTGCTAGCCTTGAGCTAAAAAAAGAGCTCAGGGACAGGGCACAGGCCCTGAGTTCAAGCCTCAGGACTGACAACCAAAAACAAAAAGGCAGTTTGCTGCGAGATCACTGAAGTGATCACCTTCAGTAGACCCTGCCCTAGACTTTAAAGGAGTAAGCAAAGGGCTTCCGATTTTACAGACCTGTGTACCTCCCTTCTCCTGCCACCCCTGACCCTCTTCCCAACCTCCATCATCCTCTGCTTCCTCCTGCAATCCTCCCGCCTCCGATGCTCAGACTCACTTTTTATTTGTTTTTGTCGGTCGTGGGGCCTGAACTCTGGGCCTGGGCGCTGTCCCTCAGCTCTTCAGCTCAAGGCTGGCGCTCTACCACTTGAGCCATGCACCACTTCCAGCTTTTTCTGCTTATGTGGTGCTGAGGAATCGAACCCAGGGCCTCATGCATGCGAGGCAAGCGCTCTACCACTGAGCCACCTTCCCAGCCCTCACTTTATTTTTGCCATCCCTTCGGATTGGATTGGATCCTCAGGGTCACCCAGGACCCACCCCAGGATGGAGACCTCCGTGACCACCTTCACCCCTGGCCATGCCCCCCTCCCTGGCCCTCCCTCCTCCCTTCCTCCCTCCCCACCCCCAGGTCATGCCTCCTGGCCCTCGGGCCCCACCAGCAGCAATGGCTGGGCATTTTTCCCTTTGTCGTGCCAGCACACGTCGAAGAAGGGGTAGACGGGGCCGGGCAGGCGCTCCCGGAAGGCGAAGAGCGGCTGGAGATCGTCGGCGTCGCTGGCGTCGTAGAAGGCGAGGACGCCGTCGGGGAAACTGAGGTAGAGCCCCACGCGCGCCGGCCGCGCCTCGGTGCGCAGCGCGCGCGGCTCCTTGGCCTCCACGTGCGCCTCCAGCACCTTCCCGTCGCGCAGCCCCAGCAGCCACAGCCCCCGCGACGGCAGCGCGTGCAGCCGGCCCCGCCGCGGGGCGTCGGCCGCCATCGCGCCCAGGGCCCAGCGCGGCTTGTCGCCCACCTCCACCTCCCAGTAATGCTCGCCCTCCGCCAGCCGCTGCTGCGCCACCACCGCCACCGCCTTGTCGAAGCGCCGCTCGTCCTCGCCCGCCGCCGCCGCCGCCGCTCCCTTCTGCTCCGCGCACTGCACGCGCCGGCCCGACGGGGACACCACCAGGCTGGGGTGCGCAGAGCTGGGGTCCAGAGTCAGCTCCTCCAGGGCTGCAGGGGGGGGACGGGGAGGGAGAGAGAGAGAGAGGGAGCCCGCTGGGCACCCCCGATCGCTCCTCCGCCTTGCCCTGTCCATCCATGAGGCGCCTCCCTGGCCAAACACCTCTGGGTCCAGGGACATCGCCCCTCCACCCCACCCCCCCAGGCTTTCTGGCTTGGGCCCACCCGAGGCCACACCTGTCTAAGCTTCAGCTGGGTCACTTGGGAATGAAGGTCCCTCCCAGAGACGGGCTGGACAGAGGAGATCGGAGGCCAGGGGGCTGACCATCTGTGCCTAAAATACACCGGGACGTGATCTACGACCTGGGCGGGATTCGAGGCTCCTCACACTCAGTGAGACCGAAGGAGGAGAGGAGCGCCAAGGCGCAAGGCCTCGGTGCCTGCCGCCCTACAAAGCAGTATTCATGGAGATGAACTCCAGGAAACGGAAACGGAAGGTGGTGGTGGTTGTTTTCTTTTTGCTATTTTTGTTTTCTTTTCTTTTTGTCCTGTGTGTTCCTTTATGTGTTTTTAAGAGGGGGGGGGGGGGGAGATACAAAAATGGAGGGACAAAGAATGAACAAGGGGCTGGGAAGGTGGCTCTGTGGTAGAATGATTGCCTTGCATGCATGAGGCCCTGGGTTCCATTCCTAAGCACAAAACACCAGGAAGTGGCGCTGTGGCTCAAGTGGTAGAGCGCCCGCCTTGAGCTGAAGAGCTGAGGGACAGTGGCCAGGCCCACAGTTCAGGCCCCACGACCAAAGAAGGAAGGAAAGAAGGAGGGAAGAGTGAAAACTACCCACCTGTGTTGCCCAGCTGTGCAGGATGTTTTCCAGCTGTGGCAGGGGCTCTGCCCTCTCCCTCCCCCACCCCCCAGCCTGGCCTGCTCCAGTAAACAGGACTTGTGTCTGTCTCCTCTCCTGAGAGGGTCACACAAGGAGTCAATGAGTCAATCAGGGTTTAATCTTCCCTTGAGGCCCATAGCACCCCATCTCATCACTCACTGCCCCCCAGGTCCCCATCTGTTGGTGAAGATTGTCCTCCAAGGGCCAACTTCGAGGGCTGCAATGGGGACCCAGAGGGAGGCCAAGGGCTAAGAGCACCTCCTTCAATGGCCCTCTGTAGTGGGATGGGAGGCCGCCCCCTGTGCCCCTCACACAGAGCCAGCCCCTCCCATACCTGGCATCAGAGCCCGGAACATCTTCTTCCACACCTGGAATTTGAAGTCATCTGAGATAATAGGCAACTGGATATCCAGACGGGCAGGCGGAGGTGACTCTGACAGAATCTTCTGCAGCCTAGAGATGGAAAAGGGAAGAGGAGGTATCTGAAGAGGGGGAGGGGAGACTCCAGGATCTCCCCTAAATCATACTCTTGCTTAAAACTTTTCCATTAGATTTTACTTTGGGAATATTGGGGGGGGGGGGGGACTCTGGAGATGGATGGAGATGCTGTATTTGCTGTAAGTGAACAGATAGTGTACATGTTTAAATGCCTAGAGTGGTCGTGCATGCCTGTAATCTGGGTTACTCCAGATACAGAGGCAAGAGAATTGAGAGGTTGAGGGCAACACAAAGTTAAAGAGACTTCATCTCAAAAAACAAAATACAAGCTAGGCACAAGTGGCTCGTGCTTGTTATCCTAGCTACTCAGAAGGCTGAGATCTGAGGACTGTAGCTGGAAGCCAGTCAGGGGGAAAAAATGGGCATGTGGTTTAAATGGTGGAGCACCAGCCTTCCGTGAAAAAGCTAAGGAACAGCACCCAGGCCCTGAATTCAAACCCTAGTACCAACACACACACACACACACACACACACACACTGCACTGCTGCACCCTCAGTCTGCCATTTTGTCCCATGCCCCAGCTCTCCCAGCTAATCCCCATCCATTTCTCCAGAATCCAGTGACAAGAGCCCCTCCTCTGGGAAGCTTTCTTAGCCACCTCTTCCCTTCCCTCTCCAGTAGCACTGAGCACAGAGCCTTGACCCTTGACCCTCCTGATCCACCATGTCTGTCTGACCACCTTAGTCCCAGGGTCTAAAGACCAGCTCAGTTTCAATGGCAGCAAAGCCGAACCCATTTGGGTACAAAGGCTTGCTGCAGGAGGAGGGAGATCCTGGCCTTGTCCTTAGAAGACTGGAGCAAGTTGGGCAAAGGAGCCAAGATGATCTCACCTGCTGGTCACCAAACAGTAAGTCTGGAGAGAGACAGAAACAGAATAGAGATAAAGCAAGCAGATAAAGCAGGACTCCAGGAACTTCTAGGAATGACAGTGCCGAAGGTAGGGGCAGAACAAACCAGGAAAAAAAGAAAGAAAGAAACCCAGGAATGAAGGCCTCTCTAGTCCTTTACCATTATGTGAATTAGGAAAAGGGTTCCCACAGAGCACTGTGGCTCATGCCTGTAATCCCAGCCTGTCATCTCAGGAGGCTGAGAGCTGAGGATCCCAATTCAAAGCTAGCCAGGGCAGGGAAGTCTGTGAGACTCTTATCTCTAACAAACCACAAAAAAGCTGGAAGTGGAGCTGAAAGTGTTAGAATGCTAGCCTTGAGCAAAAAAAAAAAAAAATAGCTCAGGGACAGGAGGGCCTAGGCCCTGAGTTCCAGCCCCAAAACTGACAAATAAATAAATAAGCCTATAATAGTAATAGCTTTCTCTCCACCCCCCACCCCTACCCCATCATGGAGCTTGAACTCAGGACCTGGGTGCTGTCCCTGAGCTTCTTTTTCCCAAGGCTAGCGCTCTACCACGCTGAACCTCAGTACCACTTCCAGTTTTCTGGCGGTTAATTGGAGATAAGAGTCTTCAGGACTTTCCTTCCCTGGCTAGCTTCAAACTGCTATCCTCAGATCTCAGCCTCCTGAGTAACTAGGATTACAGGCCTGAACCACCAGCACCCAGCAAGCTTTCATATTCTTAAGCAATGTCCAACCTAAATAACAGCCCAAGGCCCACCTCTTAGATATGAGACCCTGGCTCCTCCCTAGCCCTCTGCAGGCCTCAGGGACAAGGCCTCTAGAGTCTGAACCATGGCCAAGGGGTAGCAGCAGGAGGACATGGAGTCCTTACCATGAGGAATTCTGTCTGTGGCTTGTCAGCCACCTCCTCCAGCACCTTCTCCATCTGCCGCAGCTGCTCCAGGTAAGACTTCAAGGCAGACAGCTCCCTCTTCAAGGCCACAACAGCATCTCCCCGAACTTGTTCTGCCTCATGGTTCAAAGAATCCTCCAGGGCTGCCAGAAACACCCGCATCTTGCCCAGCTGTTCCCCAACAGACTTCCGGAACTGACGCACTGTCTCCTGAAAGGCAATGGGACAAGCGACGGGAAAAGTACTTACCTCTAGGGCTCCTCCCCCCAGACCCCAGTTCCCAGGCTCAGCCACGCTGGTCCTCACCTCCACCTCTGCCAGCTGGTGCTCCATCACGGACACATTCTTCTCCTTGAGCATGCATGCCTCCTGCAGCTGCAGCTTCTGCTGAGGGAGCTGACTCTGCAGGGAGAGGGACAGAGCAAAGGTAACAGGGATAATTAGGGGACTTTGTGAAATCCCCCTTCTATAGTTAATATACACCAGTAAGGAAATGTTCAATCGTCAGTAGTTATTATATAAGGGGCCAAGGGCTGGGAAGGTGGCTTAGTGGTAGAGTGCTTGCCTAGCATGCATGAAGCCTTGGGTTCAATCCCTCAGTACCACATACACTGAAAAAGCTGGAAGTGGTGCTGTGGGTCAAGTGGTAGAGTGCTAGCCTGGAGCAAAAGAAGTTCAGGGACAGTGCCCAGGCCCTGAGTTCAAGCCCCAGGACTGGCAGGGGGAAAAAAGGGGGACCAAATTTTATATGTATATATATATACACACACACACACACACATATGCATGTATAGTTTATCTATAGTATATATTGTATATATACACTAAAACAAAATTTTACAAACTATAAATAAAATGTAAACAAAACCTTAGATATCATAAGTACAAATAACATAATATATACTACATATTTTATATTAAATATACATATAATGATGAACACCACCATAATGATTAACATCTGCAATCCTAGCTACTCAGGAGGCTGAGATCTAAGGATCATGGTTTTGAAGCCATCCAGGACAGGAAACTCTATAAGACTATCATCTCCAATTAATCACCAGAAAAATGGAAGTGTATGGTTCAATGTGGTAGAGCATTAACCTTGACTGCAAAAGCTCAGAGACAGTGCTCAGGCCCTGAGTTCAAGCCCCACAACCAAAAAGAAAAAAGAAAAGAAAAGAAATTCAACCTGCAGCTGGGGGCTTCCAACACATCCCTGGGGGGTGGAGAGCTTGAGTCCCTAGACACCATGGGCCTTATGAACAGGCTTATTACATTGCCTTCCTTCCTTCCTTTTCTCTCTCTCTCTCTTTCTTTCTTTCTGTCAGTCATGAAGCTTGGGCCTGGGCTCCGTCCCTGAGCTTTTATTGCTCAAGGCTACTGTTCTACCACTTTGAGCCAGAGTGCCACTTCTGGTTTACTGGGGGTTAACTGGAGATAAGAGCTTCTTGGACTTCACTGCCCAAGCTGGCTTTGACCCATGATCCTCAGATCTCAGCCTCCTGGGTAGCTAGGATGATAGGTCTGAGCCACCAGCACCTGGCTACTTTCTTTCTCTTTTGTGCCAGTCCTAAGGCTTGAATTCAGCCCCTGTGTGTTGTCCCTGAGCTTTTGTGCTCAAGGCTAGCGGTCTACCACTTGAGCCACAGCTCCACTTCCAGCTGTTTTGAGGATTGGGGTAGCTGACATTCTGTTCCATTTCATGAGTTCTGCTCTCTCAGCTAAAGATGGACAAGGGGTGGCAATCCTTGGGGCTTCCTGGAGGCTCCGCCACCCTTTGCTAGGAGACTGACCACCATCCAGGACTGAGCTGGACAGTGATCCAGTGATCCAGCTCCGCTAGAACACACAATGCCAACAAAATTCCATCTGTACACACCACGATGGTGAAAGGCCGGGAGGACCCAGGAGCACTCCATGCCTCCAGATCCTGCCTCCACCTGTCTCTGCATCTGTCGCTTAATCTTCTACAGCCCAATAAATGTCCAGACTTTCTTGGGCTAGTAGTAGGCATATCTGCCCATACCCACATGGGTGTGACTTGCAGGCTAACGTATGCCTGTGTCTCCACTTGCCCATGCCTCGGTGCTTTTTCTTGGGTACCCTTGAGGATCACAAACCTGGGCTATTGAGGTGCCCAGGAATACAGCCCTGACTGGATCTCGGTGACATCAGGCCCAGGCATGCTTTTTGCCTTGCCTTCCCTCCTCGGGTTACACCCATTCGCAGGTGTCAAGCTCATGCAAGCTTGGCAACTTTACTGGTGCATGTGAATTGGCCTGGCACAGCAGTACGACCGGGTTCCCGGCTTCCTCATGCCATGCAGACGTGCCAGCCTGGCAGGACCACCCAGATTACCCAATCGCACTGCAGGCGGTGGCTCAGCCAGCTCGGCTGGGATCAGCCCGACTTTCATCAGACTGCGCCCCAATCTCTCTAGGCAAGCTGGAGGGACCGTCGCGGAAACGGCGCTTTGCAGAATTCTAGCCGCAGCCTAGGCGGGGTTTTTCCTGCCTTGGCTCACTTTCCTGCCCGGCCCCGCCTTGCCCTACTCAGCCTCCACCCCTGATGCAGGCCCCGCCCACACCTCCATAGCAACCGCATGCTCCGCCCCTCGCGCCCTGTCCCTCCCACTTCTCCATAGCAACCGCGTGTCCCGCCTCCTCCACCGGCTCCGCCCACTTCTCCATAGTAACGTCAGGCTCCGCCCTCCGCAGCTCAGAATCCAAAGCAGAAGCCGGGGCGGCGCGGGTGGCTCACGCCCGTAAATCCCAACTACTCAAGAAGCTGAGATCTAGGATCGTGGTTCGAAGCCAGCCCGGGCAGGAAAGTCCATGAGAGACTGATCTCCAGGTAATCAGCAAAAAGGCCGGAAGTGGCGCTGTGGCTCAAGTGGTAGAGCTCTAAACCTAAAAGCTCCGGGACTGAGTCCAGGCGCTGTTCCAGCCTCAGGACCCGCACAAAAAAGAAAAAAGAATCCAAAGCAAGGTCGGGACCTCTCCATCCACCCAGCAGAGTCGTCCCACCTCCACCCACCCCCGCCCCGCCCCTCCCCGCACCTTGAGGCGCGTGTGGGCCTCGGCGGCCGGCAGCAGGCGGTGGCCGCGGTGCGCCCCGAGCGAGGCGCAGACGCCGCACACCAGCGCGCGGTCCTGCTCGCAGTAGATGCTCAGCGGGTCCCGGTGCTCCTCGCAGAGGCCCTGCGGCACCTGCGCCAGCCCCTCCACCAGGCGCGCCAGCTGCTGGTTGGTGCTCAGCGCCTGCGGCCGCGTGGGCGCCTGGCAGCTGGGGCAGGGCACCGAGCCGTCGGCCGCGGGCTCCCCTCCCGCGCGGCCCAGGCAGGCGCGGCAGAAGCTGTGGCCGCACTCGGCCGTCACCGGCGCCTCAAACAGCTGCAGGCACAGCGGGCAGGACAGCTCCTGGCGCAGGAGGCCCGGGGCAGCCGCAGCCAACATGGCGAACCTGGGGCAGAGAAGGGGGAGAGGAGGAATCGGGGTCAGGGAGGCCAAGGGGCAGACATCCCCCAGGCTGGACCAGAGGCCCAGCGGGGAGGAGCGGGGCCTAGAAGGCTGAAATGGATTCTAGCTTGGGCCACAGACACCCCAAGTCCATGTCCTCTTCAACCCTAAATATAAGCCTGAGTTCTATTCCTGCCCTCTATCCAAGCTGCAGCCTCCTGACCCAGGCTTTGGTCTCAACCCTCGCCCTCCAGAACCTTCCTTTACCTGCTTTCTTTGTTCCTTCTCCCCCACCCTTTCAGGCCCACAGGACTCACCGGTCTGGGTAGAGATGATTGGCCAAGAATACCTTCCAAAAATCAAAAAATAATAATAATAATAATAAGGCAAAACTGGACCAGAGAACCAAACCAGGCCTAAATAGGGGGTTCAGAGGTTTGTCAAAGACAAGTGAGGGGCAAATAGCAGGCTCAGAGCAAGGACAGGGCCTCCAGGGGAGCTGGGAGTGGACAGGGCAGTGACAGACCCTCCCAGACTGCGTGTGGCTCCAGGACTATATTTAGTCTCTGGCCCATCCCCTCCCATCACTTCTGGAAACTGTTCTAAAAGTAAAGGCTGGACAGTCAGCCCATAGGCATCTCACATCAGGGCCACCTGCTCTGGTCTATCTACTACTGATCCCTCCTGCGGGCCAGCTGGAGCCAGAGCGAAAAGCCAGGAAAAGACACACACACAAGACACAGAAACATGAAGCCAGGTCTTTTCTTCCTTCCCTACTGCCCATCTCCATCCACACTCAGGCTTCCTTCCTTCTTCCTCCCTTGAAGGCTCTGCTCAACTTGTCACCAGCTGTTTCTCAAGCTTATATCTCATTACATTCCACTGACAGCAGAATACTAGTGGCTCGCTCAGGCCTGTAATTCCAGCTACTCAGAAGGCTAAGATCTGAGGATTGTGGTTCAAAGCCAGCCTGGGAAGAGAAATCCAAGAGACTGTCCAGTTCATCCCCCAAAAAGGTCTAATTTGAGCTGCTGTGGCTCAAATGTAGAGTATCTGCCTTGAGCAGAAAAGGCTGAATGAAAGGCACACACACACACACACACACACACACACACACACACACACACACACACACAGAGTCCTGCTTGAGGCCTACAAAACTCTACCCAGTCTGGACCTGTTGGTTGGTATCATGTGTTCCTCCTCTTGTTCCTTGTTCCCCGGGGACTTTGCACTTGCCATCCCTTCTGAAATGTTCTTTCAACCCCAGAAAGTGCCTGGCTCTCCCCCCTATCCCTCTGATTCAAACCCAAGTTCTTTTCTCTTTTTTTGTGCCCATCCTGGGGCTTGAATTGAGGGACTGAAGCTCAGGGCCTGCACTCCAGCACTTTAAGCCACAGCACCATTTCTAGCTTTTTGGTAGTCTCATGGACTTTCCTGCTCAAGCTGGCTTTGAACCACAATCCTCAGTTCTCAACCTCCTGAGTGGCTAGGATTACAGGCATGAGTCACCAGCATGCTGCTTAAGTCATTTTTTCAGTGTGGCTTTTCCAAACTCCATTTCTTTGAGTTCAGAGTCTTAATGGAAGAGCAAGATAGAAGACCATTTTCTTTCAGTTCTAAAAATCAAAAGCACCAGGCGCCGGTGGCTCACACTTGTCATCCTAGCTACCCAGGAGGCTGAGATCTGAGGATTGCTATTCTAAGCCAGCCTGGACAGGAAAGCCTGTGAGACAATTATCTCCAATAAACCACCAGAAAACCGGAAGTGGTGCTGTGGCTCAAGTGGTAGAGCACTTGCCTTGAGCTGAAGAACCGAGGGATAGTGCCCAGGCCCAGAGTTCAAGCCCCATGACTAACCAAAAAAAAAAAAAAATCAAAAGCACTCGCAATTGATTTTGTTTGTTTTTGCAATTCTTTGCATTTTGTTTTGTTTTTGAGAGTCTCACTCTGTAGCTCAGGCTGGGCTCATGATGCTCCTGATTCCACCTTGCAAGTTCTGTGGTTACAGGTGTACGCCACCACACCTAGCTACAGCTCATCATGGGGCTTGAATTCACAGCCTGGGCACTGTCCCTGAATTCTTTTTGCTCAAGGCTATCACTCTATCACTTTGAGCCGTAGCACCACTTCCCAATTAATCTTTTAATAGGTAATTTATTACAGATAAAAACACAGCCAAGTGGCTCACACTTGTAATCCAGGCTATTTCAGAAGCTAGTGTAAAGCTAACAAGGGAGGTGTGGTTCAAGTGGTAGAGTGCCACTTGAGTGAAAAAGCTAAGGGGCAGTACCCAGGCCCTGAATTCAAGCCCCAGTACTAGCAGAAAGAAAGAAAAAGAAGGGAGGGAGGGAGGGAGGGAGGAAGGAAGGAAGGAAGGGAAGAAGGGAGGGAGAGAAGGAGGGAGGGAGGCAGGGAGGGAGGGAGAGAAAGAGAGGAGCGAGAGAGAGAGTACTCCCTTAGAGAGGCCAGAACACCCCACCCCCACCCCCACCCCCACCCCCACCCCAGGCAGAGCTGTGTGGGAATCAGGTCCTGTCCAATGCCAAGGTCTCAAGCTCAAGCTAAATCCCCTGAGAAAGTTGAACTTTTCATCTGCAGTTACAATCCAAAGATAAAAATAATCAATGTCCTGACAACCAAGGACTTTTCAAATCCTGACTCTGCCATTTCCTTGTTCTGTACACTGGGGCAAGTCACTTACCCTGATTTTCTCATTAACTTAATCATGGGACTTGTGTTAGGATTACCAAGACAGTTGGGTGAGGATGAAGATTCCACAGGATGATGCTGTTTTTGTTGTTTGTTTGAGATAATATCTCACTGATTCTCACTCTCTCAATCCTCCTACCTCAGCCTCACCAGTGCTGGCATTACAGGTATATGCCCCTACAAGTTTTTAGAACAGTGCCAGCCATACAAAAATTTTTCAATACCTGTTATGTATTGATATCGTAGAATTCGTATTTTTAATTGTGCCCATGAATTCTCCCTACAACCACACAAGGTCAATAACAAACACACCTACTTCACAGATTGGAAAACTGAGGTTTGGAGACTTATGTACCAGGCCTGTTCCAAGCACTTTGCAATTTTTATTTATTTATTTGTTTATTTTTGCCAATCCTGGGGCTTGAGCTCCAGGTCTGAGCTTCTTTTGCTCAAGGCTAGCACTCTACCACTTGAGCCACAGTGCCATTTCTGGCTTTTGTCTGTTTACATGGTATTGAGGAATGGAACCTAGGGCTTCATGCATGCTGGGCAAGCACTCAACCACTGAGCCACATTCCCAGCCCTGCAATTTGTAACTTATTGAAGCTTCATATCCATCTTGTCACTTCTCTTATCTTAAAGAGACACCCTGAAGCACAGAAAGGCTAACTAACTTGCCCTATGTCCTGTAATTTGTGGGTCTTCTGGACTCAAAAATAGCAATCTTGCTCCAGCAATCACAGTTACTTTGCCTGAGTGGCTGGGGAGGGGGGCTGGTGCGGGAGGGGGGGCCTCCAAACCCAGGAGGCCTCACCTTAACTGCACCTGCTAGCTGGCTTTCATCCAGGGGGCAAGGGTGAGTCTGGGCTCAGATCTGGAAGTTTTTTTTCTGTTACAAGTCAAAAGTGCTTAGAGCTCTGAGCACCTTATCCAGAAAGAAGGGACTCAAAAGAGAAACCACCTAAGGCCTGTGGGTCAAATCTGAATGTATTGGTCCTTCTCCAACTCCCTTTTTTCCTTTTCCTAGTTGTTCCATTTCTTCTTCTGTGCCAGAGCTCAAGCTTGGACTCCAGGCCTGGGTGCTGTCCCTGAGCTCTTTTGCTCAAGGATAGCACTGTATCACTTGAATCACAGCTCCACTTCTGGCTTTTTGATGGTTAATTGGAACTGAGTTTCATGGACTTTTCTGCTCTGGCTGGTTTTGCACTGTGATCCTCAAATCTCAGTCCTCTGAGTAGTGAGCATTACAGGCATGCCAGGGGTACCCAGCTGAAGCTCTCTTAAGAGTTTGTATGGATGGCTCATCTTTCTAGTTTGTGTGTGTGTGTGTGTGTGTGTGTGTGTGTGCTTGAACTCTGGGCCTGGGCACTGTCCCTCAGTTCTTTAGCTCAAGGCCAGTGTTCTACCACTTGAGCCACAGCACCACTTCCTGTTTTCTGGTGTTTCATTGGAGATAAGAGTCTCACCCACTTTCCTGCCCAGGATGGCTTTGAACCACGAGGCTCTACCCACTTTTTTATTACACTTTATTTCTCACCAGCGTGTGCAATTTGATTCCAGCTGCTAAAAGATCCCATAGGCCCTGTCAGAGGACCCGAGGGCCCCGGGGATGGGAGGATCTAGAACTCCAGGATTCCAGCAGGCTCCCACTCGTGTCCGCCCAGAGCCACAGGTGCCACCCAGGAGCCCCAACTCCCAGCCCTGCAGGGGAAAAAAAAACAAAACCCTCCCCACACCCCGTGCGGCTCAGGCTCAGGGGAGGGCGGAGACAGGGATGGGGGTGCGGAAGGGAGGGGAGCCCCAGGTCCGCCCTTGCACGAGGAGACGGGCCAGACTTCCTGGTGGGGCGGCCGGGGCGGAAGGCAGCGGCAGCCGGGGTGAGCCATGGGGTCGGCGCGCGACGCCATCCTGGACGCCCTGGAGAACCTGACGGCCGAGGAGCTGAAGAGATTCAAGCTGAAGCTGCTGTCGGTGCCGCTGCGCCCCGGCTTCGGGCGCATCCCGCGCGGGCCGCTGCAGGCCATGGACGCCATAGACCTCACCGACAAGATCGTCAGCTCCTACCTGGACTCCTACGGCTCCGAGCTCACGGCCACGGTGCTCCGGGAGATGGGCATGCAGGCGCTGGCGGAGCAGCTGGGGGACCGGCTCCGGGGTGAGCCGCGCGCCCCGCGCACCCCCACCCCACCCCGTCCCGGGCCCGGCCTCCTTCCCATCCGAGCTGGGGGGGGAGGACGCCTTGCGATCCACCCTCAGCGAGGGGCGGGGGTCGGGGGGGGGCAGGC